TCTCTCACAACCAAATATACTCCATAGAAGTAATTAGCATTAATACGTCACTGGTCTCCAATTAATAACGAGTATTAGAGAGTAACACATTTAGTATTTAGATAATTCCTTTTTATTGTTTTTCATTTTTAGATATTCTATTCAGCTCTGTTATTTAATTGTTTAAAATGATTATAAATGAAGAGAAAATAAATCAGATAAAGAATAATTTAATCCTTAAAAAGATTCAACCAAAAATAAACAAGTTAATTAAAAATAGACTTGAAACAGAACATGTCATTCATTAGTTTATCAAGAAAATTGAAGACTGAGTCGTCTTTCTCTATAAACTTATTTGACTGGACAATAATTACAAATACTTCTTCTTTCTTTACATAACTATAAAAGGCGATGTTATTACCATTAAAGGAATGGTTTGGTACTTTATAAAAGAATTTTTCTTCAAAAGAAAGGTGATGAGTAAGATAATCAAGTACAAGGTCTCCATATACAATATGAGCTTGTGTTGGTACGCAAAGGATAGGTTGAATAATTTCAGTTTTTTGGAAATACATAAACATGGTACCATCTTTCAAGTAATCTTCAATGATAGAATGGAAATAATTTGATTGTACATGGAAATTACCAAGAATATTAGCCAAATCACCAAGAGCATTAATCCAATTTCGAATCATTTTAAAGAAAGGATATTCATTAAATGTTTTAATTGCAACAGGAATTAAGTCATTGCATCCTTCTAATTCACTTAAGACTAAATCCTTCCAATCTAATAATATTTTAGTACAACTTTCATACAACTTTCCAAGCTCTTTATATTCTCTCTTTTGAAGAAAAACACTACTTTGAACTAAGTTTCTTAATAACTCCAATTCATTTAATACGTTTCTTTTTAATGGAACAAGACAAATATTTTGCATATCATCAATCTCTTCAATTCTCTTTTGTTCATATTCTGTAGTTCTAGAGAAAAGGGAGTTGTAAACTTCAGTTTGTTGAATATTAGCTTGTTCAAAATAGTCAATTGCTTTTGGTATCTTTGGTAATATTTCAATTAACCTTTTTCTCATAGTAATAATTCTTGAAATATTTGTTACGCATTGAACCAATGGAGAATCGTCAGTATACAAATCACCTAATTTATTTTTTAATCCATCAAATTCTTTAACAAATGAACTGTATGAATTGAGGGGTGATCTTGGTATAAATGACAATAACGCATAATACGACTTTTCATATTTACAATGCTCAAATAATAATCCAAATAATTTAATTATACTAACCTGTTTAATTTCTCCTTTTAAATTCCTATTCACCAATCTAGCAGACTCATCAATTAACAAATTTCCTTGAAGCACTAAGTATGCTTTCATTCTATTATCTACTTCCATGTTATTTTCTTATTCTTTAATTTTTAGTTCTTTTTTTTTGTTTTAAATTTAAAATCGTTATTTATAACAATATTTTATTTATAGAATTTTTAGAAAATAAAATAATGTAAAATATGTTATTAAAAATGAAAATTATTTAATTCATAACTTTTATATAAAAACACAAATAATTATTTTTAGAGTAGAACTTCAAAATATAACAAGAAACTAAAAAATATCAAGTTATTTATGAATAAAATATTACTCATCAAAATACTTTTGCTAACTCAAAAAGATTAGAAAAAAAAGGATTTTAGCAGATATTATTTCTTTTAATATTACAGAAATAAAACAATAATTCAATGATATTAAAATTGGAAGAGAACATGTAAATGAAAGAATAAAACTTATTTCTTCATTAACCAGATTATATGATACTCTGAATGAATATCATCAACAAACTAAAATTATTAAAAATGTAATTCAAAATTTAACAAATAAAAAAGGAGAAGATAGAGGAGAATTTACATTTTGTATGACAGTCACAATGATGATTATATTATTATTTAGTTATGATGTATTAAATAGAAATGAACAATTAATTGAAATAATGCAAAAGTGGAAATAATGTTTAGAAAATGCAAAAGATTCTTATTACTAATAGAATAGAATATGATAATTTATTTAAATATTAATAAAATCATTGAAAAAGTTAAACAAATGAATTTTCAAAGTAAATTTGATGTTAAAAAAACTTCTCAACTTTAAGAACAAAAAGAAGAAATTACAAATAAACCGATTAAAGAAAAGGAATAACTCAGAAAATTATATAAAATGAAATGCATGTCATTTTTATGAGTTTTATGATGAGTTCATATTCTAGATATCATAACTTTATAAAAAGTTCTCTAAACACATTTATTAATTACCAACACCAATTTAATCATGTTATTGAGAAATTTAATATAATACTTGATGAAAATAATGATGATACTACAAACATTCCTGAATGACTATTTTAATCCAAATATATGCAAAAAGATTCTATTTGACATTCATTTAGTTTTATTGATTTTCTGTTAATGACGCTAATTTAATTTTTGTGGGATAGAATTAATCAGAAGATTACATTCAATAACTTTATGTAAATTATCTCGTTGAACTTCTGAAACTTTCCTTTCGGTATTTTCATCATAAATAGCACAAATATATCAAGTATATCATCATTGCTCTAAGTTTGATAAGGCATTTGCTCAATTTCATCAATGTTTAAATTCATATCAATTTAAGAATCTCATTATAGAAATTTCAACATAAACAAGACTTTTTCCATTAGGAAATTGTTACAAATGTCATTTATTTATTTATCTCGGTATCTTCTTATCTTTACTAGAATGAAAAATGAATTTACTAACAACGTTGAACACCTAAAAACTTGGGTTTATATTTATTAGGTTGTCTGGTTATTGTGAGTTAAATGAAACAAATTTTGAAACCTAAAGAGATGAATAAAATTACTGGAGTTCTACCAAAACAACTGCGAACCATCAGTTCATTTCTTTTATTCATTACTTACTCAATAAGGTATAATGCGTAATGTTTTTATTCAGTAATATTTTAACGTTTACAAAATCAAGCAAAGAAGAAGTATTTGTAGAACAATATGATACAAAAAATATATGGAACTATACAATTAATGAAAAACAAAAAAAAACAATGAAGATTATATAGCAACTCAAAGAATAAAATTACTGGAACTTGACTCTTTCTTCAATAAATTGGAAACTACACATGAATTTACTTAATGAACTGTCACAAATTGAATATTTTTATAAAACAAAAAAGTCTTTGGAATTGATATAAAATTAACAACTAAACTTCACTAAGATGAAATTAGACTTATGCTAAAAGTACTTCATCATATTTTTGCTGCATTAGAAGTTACCGCTTCATCAACAGAAAATATTATTAAATTAAGTTGTAATGTAATAGAATTTGATGAATTAATTTACAAGATTAATGCTGGTAAAGATATTAATGGTAGTAGAAGAGACGGTCTTCTTTATAATTTCATAAAGAAATATTGCTCTGGATTACCAAATAAACTTCAATGAAAATTATAAATAACTGAAGACAATATTAATATTCAAAGTATTTTACAAATTTTGGATAAATCATATTTAGCATTTGTTGAGGACTATTCAGAGTTTTACAATTGATTACAGATAGTTCAAAATTTATTCAAAGTAATTTCTCCTTCTATTTACCCAAGTGATACAATACAACTTGATATAGAAAAGTTAACTAAAACCGTTAAATTTATTATAGAGCATTATAACATTGTCTTTGGATCAATTAAAACAAAAATAAATCAACTTTATAAAGATAGAGAGAAACTGAACGATTAAAATGGTTAAAATTTGAAAGTAAAGTGTTACAAGATTCTTTAAGTGATAGAGATACTTATGTTTTATGTTTATTTGAATCAACAAAAGAAAATTCAATAATCCTAATGCTATTTTGGTATCTTAAAACAAGGAGAAGCAGAGATTGAAGAAGGAAAGAAAATATATAAAAGATGGGTTGTATTAAAAAACAAAATAGTGATGTTATTTAAAGAGAAAAGACAAGCTAAAGCAGAAATTGCCATACTATTATTTGGATGTTTTGTTACTGAGACTATAAAAGAAATTGTACTTAATATTTTATTGAATGAAAAACAATGCAATTCAATTACATTCATGAATAATCACAAAAAATGGATAAAATTAATTAAATCATGTTTGAAACCAGATACAAAATAATTGAAAATGAATTTTAATTCATTTCTTTCCATTAAATATTATTAAAATATAGTTATATAATTTATAATTTATTTTAAGGATTGTGTTAATGTAATTCTATTCATTTTCAAAGACTAGTTTAAATACTATAATATTATATAATACTAATTAGCTTCCGTGTGTTGTGAATGACTATTCACATTCCTAAACTTACATAAAACAACAATAACAATAAAAGCTGATGATGTTATAAATGATAAAATACTTGTTACTAATCCAAAAACCCCAGTCATAAAAAAAGTTAAACAAGACATAATAATAAACCATATTGAACATACAACTCCATTTTCTAGTATTAATGGAATAAATGGTACTGAACGTACTATTCCAAATCCTGAAATTAATACAGTAACTAATCCACATACTAATAAGACAATTGCAACTAATACAACTGCTAATGTTGGGTTTGTTTGTAGTCCATCAACTTTAAATGACTCAGGCTTATTGTTAACAAAGTGTAATAACCCAGTTAATGTTAATACTACTTTATTATTCCTTATTTAAAGTTTTAGATCAAAATAACTTAACAAACAAATGCCTATTACGCATAACCAAACAAGAAACATATTTTTAAGAAATATACCTATATTCATGGTGGTTCTAAACACCAACGATTGTTTAAATTAAAGTTCTCATTATTGTCGCCCCTTCTATTTATTCTTTGTCTCTTTTTCTTTTTCATTCCAAAATCTCCAGGTGTTTTTATTTTTCTTTCCCCATTTCTTCATTATTTCATTTTAACAAAACAAGTAATGTTATAAATATCAAACTATTATTGAGATCTTATCAGAAAAACTAGAGGAAATAGTTTATAATGTCTGACAATGAAACCATTCCTGAAGACGCTAGTGTTGAACAAAAAAAATCAATCATAGATTATTTCTTTTTTGTTCATGGATTATTGTCACTATCTATAAATCCAAAAGAACATTGGGCACCATTTGCTAATGCATTAAAAAATGAATTACAAACAAATTATATAATGGTTTGTTGTTAAAGATAAGATGTTATTGGTTATAATAATAAATGACAATAAGAGTTTACAGGTTTAGAGATATTGTAGTTGTAATAGTGAAAGAGTAAAAACATTAGATGGTATTGAAGTTGGTGGTTTGCGTATAGCAAATGAAATCTGTGGATGTTTAAAAAGTAACCAACAAAAGAGGGGAGATGAAAAGTATAGAATTCATTTTATTGGTCATTCTCTAGGTGGGTTATATCTTCGATTTGCAATACCTATTTTATTTAAACGTGGTATCTTTAATAATTTAAATTGGATTCCATTTAGTTTCATGACATTAGAAACTCCTCATCTTGGAGTTCAAAAACCATTGAATAATGGAAGTTTTGATAGTATGTATAGGGTTATATCAGATGTTGTTTTTGAAGGTTTAACAATGAGTGAGTTACAGCTCCAAGACAAACCATTTCCACCATACGACCTAACTTGTTTAAAAGAATATCCACTATTATTAAGAATGGTTGAAAATGATGTTATTGCTCCATTAAACAAATTCAAACATCTTACATTAATCCAAAATATTAGATTTTCTTTTCAGGTACCATACGTATCATCTTCAATTGATAGAGCAATTCCTTATGACCGAGAATTTCTTAAAGATCAATTCTTATTAGATGGTTTTGATTTTCCTAGTCAGTACAATGACTTAATGAGTGGGTGTAATAAACACTATCAACTACAAGATGAAAGAGGTGAAGTCTTTGAAGAAAGAATAGACGGTTGTGTAGTTTATGATCGTATTGTAAAACAATTAAATACATTAAAATGGAGAAGACTAAATGTTCATTTTAGAACTAAATCATCAGATGCTCATATGTTCATTATGGGGCAAATGAATAGAAAGAGAATATTTAAAAATTGGGGAAATGATGACGTTACTTCATACCTTGATACCTTATGCAAATTAATTAAACGAGACATAGACATTGAAAATGGTGATATTGAAATACTCTTCCCACAACAAGATGAATCTGGTTCACAAGAGATTGTTCAAAATTCAAACCCCTCTACTGAAGAAAAGTTAGTTGATATACAAAACCCAGAGACTCTACCCTTAAAAGAAGAAAAAGAAGAAACAAGCCATCCACAAATACTTTAATTGTTATTCTTTTTTATTAATAAATTAATATATTTTTACAAAAAAATAGTTATGAAAAATAGAAAATAAAAGTTTTATTGTTAATAGAACCACATTATTATTAAGCTGATTATGAAAGAAATTATTGTTTTTTGATTTATCTGTAAAATTTGCCTAAGAAAATGATTTATTCACTAATAACTTCTGATAACTTAATAATAGAACTATTCTACATCTTAAAAATATACTTCTTTTTTCCATTTTATAATGTGTCTTATGTTTATCTTATTAATACTAATGAGTTGCGTCTATGGATCTTGTGATTTAAATTGTATCAAATGTGAACAAAATATTTGCACTCTATGTGATGATGGTTTTACTTTGGATAACGAAGGTTCCTGTGTACAATGTTTGGATTATTGCAAAACGTGTTCTTCAAATTCAACTTGTAACTCTTGTATTAATAATTATTATCTTAAAGACAAT